AGTCACACAGCCATGAGGAAATGAAACTTTCCAACAACCAGAATGAGCTTGGAAAAAGCTATTTCTTTAGCTGTGTTTCCAGGTGAGAATGCATCCCAGTTGACATCTTGATTGTAATTTGTGAGACCTTAAACAGAGGACTCATCTAAGCTATTCCCTGATTCCTAACCCATGGTAACTGTGAGTAAAGCAAGTTCATGGCAATTTTTTAAGCAATAGGAAACGAATACAGATTTTAGTACCTGAAAGTGGAGTGCTGCTGTAGTAAATATCTACAAATGTGGGAGCAGCTTTAGAATCAAGCAGTGAGCAGAGGCTGGAGGGGCTTTGAGGAGCATGACAGAGAAAGCATAAATCACCTTAGAGATACTATTAATATTTAGTCTTCCTGCGGGTTCAAGACCCACCTGGGCAACTTGGCGAGACCTCATCTCTACAATAAATCAAAAAATTAGCTGGGCATGGTAGCACACACCTATACTTCAGCTACTTGGAAGGCTGTGGCGGAAGGATCGCTGGACTCCAGCAGGTCGAGGCTGTGGTGGCCAGGAGCAGCCACTACACTCCAGTCTGGGTGACAGAGTGAGACTCCAACTCAAAAAAAAAAAAAAAAAAAAAAGACGGTGCTATTGAGTACTCAGAAGCAAGTGAGCAACATATTACTGTATTTATGTAGCATCAGAAAGCTTAGCAACATTGTCTCCTGTAGTTATATAGAAAGCAGAATGAATAACTCAGAAATTTGGATATATAGTTAAGATAATTTCCAAGCGAAGTGTTGACAGCACTGCCAGGTTTCTTCATGCTACTTATGGTCAAGTGTGAGAGGAGAGAGATAAATTAAGAACTGCTAAACAAAATAAACCAGGATTTGGTGATGTTGAAAATTTTTAACAACAGATGGTAAAGAATGACAAAATCAAGATATTCATTGTCAGGAAAGTGGGTTCTAGAGAAAAGGAGAAAGTGTGCCTAGATGACCCTTTGCTAAGGTTTCAGAAAGATCATAAGGTCAGAGTATTCAGTCATACTACCTCTCTTTCAAGAGATTAAGGCTATGCCTTGCAAATCTTCTTAACTAAACCAGAGAATCTCTAGAAGCTTAAGAGCGTTGTTCCTTAGGCATCTCAGCAGGAAGCCAAAATAGACAAGGAATTTTCTTTAAAATAATTAGTGATTGTGGCTTTTGTCTAATGTAGTGAATCCCTGTGAAAACCATGAAAGGTCCCAAAAGTTTTTGAGAGGATTATTTCTTCATAAACATTGACAGTTCGAACTAAAAGAGATAGGGAGAGTATAAAATGAAAAACGGCTGTCAGACCTCAAATTACACTGGCAAGAAGAAGATTAATAAAACAACTCAACTTTATTAAAAAAGGAAGGATGACACAGAAGGCAAGACCAAGAACCCACAAGACAGCACTTAGAACCATAAGAATTATTCTTTTTTTTGAGTTGGAGTCTCACTCTGTCGTCCAGACTGGAGTGCAGTGGCCGCTCCCAGCCACCGCAGCCTCAACCTGCTGGGCTCCTGCGATCCTTCCGCCTCAGCCTTCCAAGTAACTGGAACTACAGGTGCGCGCTCCCACGCCTGGCTGATTTTTAAAAATTTATTGTAGAGATGAGGTCGGTCTCGAACCTGTGGGCTCAGGCAATCCACTCACCTCAGCCTCCCAAAGGCGCGGGATTACAGGCTGAGCCACTGAGCCCGGCAAGAATTATTCTTATGTCTTGAAGCCTAATCAACAGAATCTGGACATTTGCCCAAATGGTTTTCAGAACTGCCATGACCAGTGACTCCTTTTATCTTTCATTTCCCCCCTTTGGTTCAAAAAGAATGTGTGTGGGTATTATCCTGTGCCTATCTCACCATTGTAGGTTGAATGTTTTAGGGACAGATAACTTGTCCCTTTAATTTCACGAGTCCACATATAAAGAAGAATTGTACCCCAGGAGAGGTACTTAGTGATTACACTCAAATGCCTCAACCAGCCTTGGAACTGCTTTAGATGATAAGATTTTAGACTTTGAGCAAGTACAATGATGAGATAAAAAAAAACTTTTGGCGACCTTGGAACAGAAGAATGTATTTTTAAAATTTGTTTTAAAATTCTTTTTAAAATTATTATAAAGATGTGGGGTACAATTCAAGGTTAGGTGTACAAACGTTGATTATGCAGGTACCCTTATTGATGAGGTATGCCCCTCCCTCCCCTAGCAGTTTCCTTCAACTACCAAATCCCACTCTCCCTCCCCTTACAGTTTCTCTCTATGGTCAATTCCTCTCTTATAGTGTTATAATAATTGTTCAAGGTCTGCTTATGAAAACATGTGGTACTCTGTTCTTTGCTTCTGTGATAGATCACTGAGTATGATTGACTCTAAATCCATCCATGTTGCTGTGATGTCCATATGTTTGTCCTTCTTTATGGTTGCATAATATTCCATTGTGTATATGTACCACATTCAAAAAAAAAAATCCAGTCCAGCTTCAATGGGCACCATGGTTGGTTTCATGTTTTGTTATTGTGAATAAGCTGCAACAAACATATGTGTGCAGGTATCTTTTTTTGTAGAATGATTTGAGTTCCTCCAGGTATATTTCCAATAGGGGAATTGCTGGGTCATATGGAAAGTCATTTTCTAGTTCTTTCAGGTTTCACCACACTGTCTTCCAAAGAGGTTGCACTAGTTTGTATTCCCACCAGCAATGTAGAAGTGTTTCTTTTTCTCTGCATCCTCACCAGTATCTGTTGTTGTTTGTTTTATTAACACACAGGAAGAAGGTATTTTGCATGTGGCAGGGATGTTGACTTATTGGGGATAGAGAATGGACTCTGTGGACAAACTCTAAAATTTTCTCAATGAATCATGCCCTGTTTTATCTCCCCTCCTTCATACAAATGGTATTTTGTATATTTAGGAGTATATGGTTGACAGGATGTGTGACTTGCTTCTAGACAATAGAATATGGCAAAGTTGATGGGATTCACTCCCTTGATTATGTTGCTGTCTGTAAGACTCCTTCTTAGCAGACTGGCCTTGTGACTGCCAATAGAGAGGGTACTGTGGTGGGGAACTAAAGGCAGCTGGGACCTGAGGGCAGCCAACAGCCAGCAAGAAGCTGGGGCTCTCAGCCCTGGAGTCTTAAGGAAATGAATTCTGCTAACAACATGAATGAGTTTGAAACCTGATTCTCCCAGTGGAGTTTCTAGAGGAAAGTGCAGCTCAACTGACACCTTAATTGCAGCTTTGTGGAACCCAGAACAGAAAATACAGCTAAGCCATGCCCAATCTCCAAACCTGTGGAAACTGAAATAATAAATGTGTGTTACTTTAATCTGCTCAATTTGTGGTAATTTGATCTGCAACAGTAGAAAACGAATGCACCCCTGGTTTGGAATGCAGTGCTCCTGTTGTTTTCATTATGACTTTCTTATAGCAGACTCAGTAGTCATTTCTCAGTATGCATCGTCTACTTTTTGTTCCCATTAGGACTTCGTGGTTCCTCCATCCTTTGAGGAATGCTCTTTTGTATTTGCTTTAACCTCAGGCCCACCCCCACCGTGGCTGTAGCTGGAAACCTGATGTCACTGTTGGCTGCCCTCTTCTACCCAATCAATAGTGATATTCTCTTGGTTCTGCTTTCTAAATGTCTACCAAATCCACTTCCTTTTCCTATTTCTGTGGCCATCATCCTCGTTCAGAACATACAATTTTAAAACATTTTTCTTGAATTCTAAATGCATTGCTGCAATCTTCCCAAATGTTTATCCACATAGCAGCAACAGTACTGTTTGCAGACTGTAGGCATGCCTTAGCCACAAGCCCCGCCAGAGCTCCCTGAGAAGACTTTGTAGACCAGTGAAGGCGAGAGAGATGCGGAAGCAGGAGGAAGTGAAGATGCGTTCATTTCGACTTAAAGGGATGGAAGGCTTGAATAGATGCACGCTTTTATGGACTCAAGAAGACAGTGAAGGGACAGAGATCCAAATGAGGAAGAAAATAAAACTCTGCTCAGGTGGGGCAGAGGCGGATGGGGTTAGGACACAGCTTGAGGAGCTAGCTCTACAAAGAAAGAGGAAGGAAGAAGCCATTCAAAGACGGGAGAGAAACAGGTGAAAGTGGATGAAGACATAGATATACTGAAAAGTAAAAAGTAGGGAAATTGAGAAGGTAATCCACTTACTCTATAGCAAGGTTGTGTGCTGACAGTGAGGGCAAGAAGAATGGATGCTGGGGTGGGTGGTAAACCTGTGAAGTAAATGCTAAAGGGGAACAAAAACGATCACTTATCATATTCATGTTAAGTCTCAGTTTTTTTTAGTAATTTAATAAAATTAAGAAAATGGGATAACCAGTAAAAAGTGTTTGTCTTTCTACATAAGTGCATATGATGATTAGTTATTAAATGGCATTTGAATTCTTTTCATTTACAAGTGTCATCTATTTTGACTAAATAATTTAGAGTCTATTATTTTTAAATATTTGTTTATAATATAATTCAACAATTTTTGATGGTGGTTTATTTTCTGGTGCCATTGGTACAGCATTAGGAGGACAGCAGGACAAAGTAAAGATAGATTAAAATTGTACCAGCTATTATCAGTGGAGATCTTTTACTACCCAGTAGCTTCCCAATATTCCATTCAATTAGAAAATTAGGAAATTGGCAATAAACTAGTTCATAAATGTAAGTCTGACTTAAAAGTGCAAGAAAATAGCCTTTAGAATTTAGAAATGATAGTTCCAAAAATCCGTATGTGTAAACCTACTTAAGTACAGGCTTGTGGGATATGCACCTGGATAGGCCTTCTTACTAGCCTTCTTTTTGTGGTGTATTGGCAAGATCTGTGACTTTACTTACCATATCTGTGTATCCCTGGGTGAAGAGAGAGTAGGGGTGTGTGCTCTGTGTTCCTTTTAACATTTAAGTCTGTAACCTTAAATAAACATTAGAAAGAAACACTGCTTGTCTTCCTTTTTTAAAATCATTGTAGGAAGCTGTGAGGATGTTTAAGAAAGCACTGGATATCTTTTCTCACTCTGATAAAGGATCAAATGCCACAGCTCTTTCAGCAGACTGTCACCATAACCTGGGTCTTTGTTACATGGAGGAAGGCAACGTACAAATGGTATTTTGTATATTTAGGAGTATATGTTATTTGTGATTTTAAAAGCTGATTGCTTGTATTCTGAAGACCACTTATACAGTGAGTGAATAGTCCAAAGCTCCTTATAAAACTTGGCTTATTGTAGTTGGTCTCTACCTTGCAGTACTGATGACATTATTTTATTTAACCGGTGTGTTTTGATACTTGTTTGTCCACAATGGAAAATAAACATGCTGGTTGTGTTTTCTTTGAAGAAACAAAAACTGACAATTAAAATTATTACACCCCCAACATATTGTAATGTAATTACATGGATTATGTGAACCTTAGTCTGGAAATAAGGCCTTTAATGATAGTAATAAACCTGACATGTTCCTAAATGTTACTTTTCTTTGCTTCAGAAGGTTCATTGGGAGAAACATATTTAAAATGACCCCCAAATGGGATGAAACCTTTCAACAATTGTTATATATTATAATTTATTAATATTTAAAAATAATATACTATATAAATGGTTTGTATTTTAACAATGTGCTCTTCTAGGCTTTAGATTCTTTTACAAAAGCTGTGAAAGCAAATCCCAATTTTGCAGAAGGCTTTTATCAACGAGGGCTTTGTAAAGCTAAACTCCACAAGGATAATTCAATTCTGGATTTTAATCATGCAATTACTCTTGATCCAAAACATTACCAGGTATTTAAAGAAATGATTTCAGTGAGTTGGAAAGTGTGTTAATATTGGTAAAACTATTAAATCTTTTATATGCTATTGTGATAACTAGCAACAGTCAATTACTTATGCCTACTATTCAGCTAGCTATATTTTGATAATAGTTGTATTTTCTTTTGAACTAAAACTATTACTTACATCAGAGATATTATGAATGTAATTTGTGAATTGTTATATGTAAATATTGTTAATATATTAATATAACTATTAATCATTTAGATTTTATTTACTGTTAGTTTTATGCATTTATTTTGTTGCTATTACATTGATTCTTGCCTCTTGGTAGACTATAGAGACTACAAAATTCAGCAGGTGAGTTTGAGTGCATCTAGATTTTGAAAGTTCATGAAATTTGAATAGAAACTACTCTATGATTTTAGGAAATTTCTATTAACTTTCTTAAGTATATTTTGTGGCAGTGTGGTTACGTAGAAGAATTTTTTTTTTCCACAGGAGATGTATGCTGGAGCATTTTGGGTAAAATATTACAATATCTATGAGGGAGAACCCCCCAAAATTGAATTATCTTTTGAGCACAGGCCCTTGTAGTATAGGCTCCCCCCCTCCCCCGTAGTGTTCTAGAAACCAATGGCATCAGTGTACCTGCTAGTGTTGTTCTTCGGCTTCAGTGATTATTATTATTATTTTTTGGAGAGTCTTTCAACATGTTTGCCCATTTCATTAACGGATGATTAACCAGTGCACCTGCCCACACCACGCTGAGTGATCTGAAGTTTTTGTCCATGCCCCACCCTCCCTATTCACTGGATCTCACTCTGAGCAACTTTTTGTTGTTGTTGTTTCCCTGGATGAAAAAAGTTCTCAAAGGGAAACGTTTTGCCCATGTGGAAGAGGTGAGACAGAGTACTACAAGGCATCAAAATTGGCAAGTTCAAAACTGTTTTGAGCAGTGGAAAAAGTGTCTCGGTAGGTGTATTGCATCAGCTGGAGACTAGTTTGGGGTGACTGACATTTAAATACGTAAGAATAAATGCACAATTTTTTATAAATAAATTCTGTTTTTTGAGTTCCCCCCATACAACTTGTTTTAGATAGCTGAGAAAAAGATAGGTAAAACAAATATGGCAAAACGCAAATCATTATTGAATCCAGGTGGTATCTATTTAATCCAGGTGTTCACTGTGCTATTCTTTTAATTATTCTGTATGTCTGAAATTTTTTATAATAAAAAAGAATTTTGAAAAGACTATATTTTAATACCATCTGTGAATGACGTAGATTTGTTCACAGTACCATCTATTTTGGTAGAATTGATTTTTTTTCTGAAGTATCTACTTCTGCTTTGTCTTTTCTTTCTCTGAATAGGCATATCTAAGCCGAGTAGCCTTCTATGGTTTAAAAGGCAGATATTCCAAAGCAATCTTGAATTGTAATCAGGCTATCAAAATTTATCCTGAGAGTGTGCGTGCCTATCTCTACAGAGGAGTTCTGAAATACTACAACAAGGTAGGGTCATTTCCTGCCTATTTTACTCAAATATTAAAGTGGGTGGAATTTGTGTCACCAAGTGGAAGACTCACCTCCTTTTCTTCTCTGTAGTAGGGAAACCATGTGGTGTGAAGGGCACAAGTACATACAGCACTTTACGCTTTCCCAATGCATCAAAAGAAATTCACATTCATAATATTTTTTTTTTACAAAATAGTGATACTGATTTTTGACATTTGTGTTTTAAATAGCATTTATTATTTATTTTTATTAAGAAATTAGCATATACTCATTGCAGACAATTTGGAAGATACAGAAGGGAATAAAGGATTATTATCCCACTATCAAATTATAATTTCTGGGTGTATTTTGGTATATTTACATTTAATCTTTTACTTTCCTGATAATATATGATATGCATTTTCCAAAATTGATGTTATGCTACTTATATAGCTTGTCTTCTGTCCTGCTCTTTACACTTAATCTTTGAAGATATCATTTTTCTAACTACATAATATTCTATCATCATTTATTTTTAATCACTTTATTTTTGAATATTTGGGTTGTTTTACATTTTTTTCTATTTAAAATAATATGCAATAATATAACAACTGAGGACACAATTGTTGCTTGAGTTTATGTTCTTAAATGGAAGTTACTGGGTTAAAGTGTGTGAGCAGCACTGTTGCTATCTGATACAGCACGGAATACTTTGTTTCTCCCTACTTTTCTTTTCTGACCTTTCTTTGTAGCTATTTCATATGAAATGTTTTGCAAATAATACCTTAATGCACAGATAAGACCCTTATGTTATGTGTTAATTCTATGAAAATTATTATCTATAGAAATAGATGATATAAAGTATCAGAGAAGAATCAAAGAAGAAGGAAAAGGGAACATGGGTAGAAAACATGACCATTATGTGATATGACAGTCTAAGTAACAGAACCAAGCAAGCTCTGGTGGATGTTTGCTGGAAGAATATTGGTTGCTTCTCTTTAATCTATAAGTGTCACATAGATGCCATACAGTAGCACTGATAATACTATAATTGTCTAAATTAAAGTTAAATATATATATGTACACACAAAATTAAATAAAATTATATAACATATATAACTTTATTTGCAGGTAAGAGGAACTACAGTGATAATTTCTACCAGGAGATCTTCTTAATTAACACTGAAAGATTAGCATGAATGCCTTAATTTTGTTGATGATACACAGAATGGTTAAATGAGTGTTTCCAAAACTCTGATAGAATCTATAATTTATTTTATAATTAAATTTCAGTTTATTATGATTTACCCTTCTCACTTAATTATTTTTTTCTTTGTAGACTTATAAGCTAGCAATTACAGATTTAACTACAGCTATCAACATGGACAAAAAGTGTTATATAGCATTTTATAACAGAGCATTATGTTACACCAAGATAAGGGAGCTTCAGATGGTAAGAGGACCATTTTAGTAAACAACACATTTAAAGCATTTAATAAATAACACACACTTAATAGTTTGTTGAATTCAGTCAATAAACATCTAACAAACAACACATTAAAGCATTTGTAAACACATTTAAAGCACTTGTATTTTTGTATTATTTCTGCTATAATTTTGAAAAGTAATTCCTAAGAAAATACACACACAAAAAATCTTGAGAAACCAATGAACCATCTCAAAAAATATTTACTTTCTTTGTTAGCACCCATCAAATTTTCTTATACAATTTCTGCAAGAAGTCAAATGAAAAATTAATTTTATAGTGCTTATTTAAGCACTTGAAAGCATGTATAAATTAAAATACATTATATGATTATTATTTGAGTAAATATTTCCACTGATACCCTGCATGCAGAATTTTATAGCAACGATCACTGGCAACATTGCTGCTTCAAAACTTCATCATTAGCTAGAGCAGTTCCTGTAGGTATTTTTTGTTTTGATCCTCAGACCACACATGCAGCAGTGAGTTTGGAGTTGATGGTTTCCAGCTCCAGGCACCAGTGACCACGATTTTTGCTCATGTATTCTTAAGGCCTAACTATGGCTGCAGCAACCTTCCTTTGTCCTGATCCAGCATCTACCCGTGTTTTCTAATTTTCACCCCTCTCTTGTCTCCCCTTGTCGGTTTGGTCCCTTAGCAAGGAGGGTTCCTCACTGGGAAGCAACTGGTCTGTGGTCCCAGCCCCTTGCTTCTCTTTCTCTCTTATCTGTTTGTTTCCCTCTTTTTATTTCTGCACACTTCCATAGTAAACAAAGCATTCCTTCAAAAGACTTCATCACATTCCTGCTGTTCTGTGTCTACACACTCCCCAGTCTCTGTGAAACTTGGATAGTCAATCTGTTTAAAGCATTAAGAAATTTAGAAATCCACAGGGTGGATGCGGTGGCTTATGCCTGTGATCCCAGCACTTTGGGAGGCCAAAGCGAGAAGATTGTCTGAGCTCACGGGGTTCAAGACCAGCCTGGACAGCATGGTGTGACCTTGTCTCTACAATTAAAAAAAAAGGAAATCCACAAGCATTGCAAGGGAAGAAGTTGAGACACATTGTTTCTACTTAAGAGACTATAAAATTCCGGGTAGCCAGACTATCAAGTTTCTTCCAGAAATGTTGCCAAATGAATAATTAATTTTTAACAGGGGAATTGTTAAGTTTAGGAACTAATTAAAGGATCACTTATCAAAGTGACCTGCACAGCAGGCGTCTTTGATGACTCTCTCTCCACCCCATTCCTGCCTGAAAGGTAACTGTGAATGGGAAAACAATTGGAGTGGGTGGGGAGGGGATTCCATTTCAGAAATGTAAAAATGCCAATGCCCTGTTAATAAAGAAAATGCAAAACTACCTTAAATAAGTGAGATCATCAAATTAGAAGACTAACATATTGGTGATTTTAGAGCTGCTTGAACCCCATTGCATTTCATCAAACCTGCTCATTTTATAGATGAGGAAATGAAAGTAGGGAGAGGTTAAAAACTCATCCCTGTGTTAAAGTCACATAGGGAGGTTGAACCCTCTATGGGTATCCACATGTTTGTTTGCTTCTGGGTTAACAAGTCTTCAGGTAGTTTTGTAAAGCCATCTTGACAACCAGCACGTGGACTGGATGCCATTCAAGTGGTGTCACATCCTCCCTTTTTGTGTACCTCAGAATTCCTGCCACCCTTAAGCTGAGAAAAACCAAGTATCTTTCTGCAGAAAATGCACTTAGGCATTCTTCCAAGACGTGGTCAATATAGGAGAAAATAAAGTAAATACCAGGCACAACTTCAGCATTTATGATGTTTTCTACTCTCTACATAAGACAGACACATGAAGAAATGTTCAACCTCACTAGACATCAAGGAGATGCAAATTCAAACTACACTGAGATACCACCTAACTCCAGTCAGAATGGCCATCATCAATAACTCAAAAAATAACATGTTGGAGAGGATGTGGTGAAAACGGAACACTTCTACACTGTTTGTGGGAGTGTAAACTAGTACAGCCTCTGTGAAAATTAGTGTGGCGATTCCTAAAAGTTCTAAAAATCAACCTTCCATATGACTCCGCAATCCCCCTACTGGAAATATACCTGGAAGAACTCAAATCACTATAAAAAAGATACTTGCACACATATGTTTATTGCAGAGTTGTTCACAATAGCAAGATCATGGAACCAGCCATGCTGTACATCAAAAGAGGACTGGATTTAAAAAAGGCTGGGGCGGAAGGATCGCCAGAGCCCAGCAGGTCAAGGCTGCAGTGGCCGGGAGTGGCCACTGCACTCCAGTCTGGGTGACAGAGTGAGACTCTAACTCAAAAAAAAAAAAAAAAAAATGTGGTACATATACAAAATGGAATATGCAGCCGTAAAGAAGAACAAAATCATGAATTTTGTAGCAACCTGGATGGAATTAGAGTTTATAATACTGAGTGATCTTTCACAGTAACAAAGATCTGAGTATCATATGTTTTCACTCATAAGTGGACCTTGAACAACTACTATAAGAAAAGGATTGACAGTGGTGGGAAACTGTGGGGGGGGCAGGGAGGGTTAGGGAGGTGGGATTAATGGTAGTCAATATCTGTCTGGGGAAGGAGGGCACACCTCATCAACAGGGGTACCTGCACAATGAATATTTGTATACCTAACCCTTAACTGTACCCCACAATTTTAAAAGAAAAAAATATAATTAAAAAATTATTATTATTTGACGGGGCTCGGTGACTCAGCCTGTAATCACAGCACTTTGGGAGGTCAAGGCAAGTGGACTGCCTGAGGCTGTGGGTTCGAGACCCACCTGGGCAACTTGGTGAAATCTCATCTCTACAATAAATCAAAAATTAGTTAGACGTGGTAGTGTGCACCTGTAGTTCTGGTTACTTGGAAGGCTGAGACAGAAGGATCACTGGAGCCCAGTAGATCGAGGCTGTGGTGACCGGGAGCATGCCACTGCACTCCAGTCTGGGCAACAGAGTGAGACTCCAACTCAAAAAAATAAAATAGAATAATGATAATAAATTTTTTACAGCCCTGGCAATTTTTTTTATAGTTATGCCACAGCATACATATAGGATCCTTTATTGCACAATTTTTTAGACACTTGAATGTCCAGATCAGAAAACACTAGAGGAGGGCAAATGAGCAAATAGTAAAATACTATTTGTCATTTTCGGTTTACAGAGACTACAGACATATGAGATTTGACCCTATCTGATCAAACCATATTGCTCTTTTGGAGAAAATGTTCAGTAGCAAAATGATTTAAGAGATTCAGCTCCAAACCAAATATAGGATGCTTCTAGTAGTTGGTGCAGAGTAGACACCAAGGAAATATTGTTTAGTCAGTGAAAAAAACTAAAAGTAAGAATAACAAAGTTCTTTTAAGTTGATTTAGTTATCTGCTTAGACTACAGTTTTTAAAAAAATGAATATATCTATCAAAATATTTTGAAAGAATTTTCTTACAAGTGCTTATTTGTTAGCTTTATTAAGATCTATTTCCATGAACTCATGATTTATTCATTTGATAAAATTTATTGAATGCCTATTATGTGCAGGCACCATGCTTGTTGCTGAGCTAAAAATGGTGAACAAAATAGATAAGCTCTACTTTCATAGAGCTTAGGTTTCAGCAAAGAACACAATAAAACACTACAAATAAATTAAATTTTAGATGATAATCACATTAACAGTCATTTGATCAAGTTTCCAAGTGGAGGAAGATTACTGAATCCTTCCATTCCAGTCTAAATACAAATGAAAATTCATAGGGTGACTCTCAGATAATATGTGAAATGCAAGCACAGCTCAGGGGACACATTACCATATGATTATTTTGGCCATCATTTATAAACAAATTAAGGAACTAACTCTTGGGTTCTAGTTTAGACATGAATACATTTGTTCAATGCAGTAAGGCTCTAAAGAGTTGAATCTATGTTGTGATTATTTTCTTTTTAGGCATTAACAGATTATGGAATTGTGCTGCTCCTTGATGCTGGAGAAACTATAACATTAAATACCTTCATTAATCGTGGACTCATCTACACAGAACTAGAACAGTATGGCTTTGCATTAGAGGTAAGCTTTCCCTTCTCTGCACAAAGACAAACTTACTTGATTTTGCACATTGACTTCTGAAAACTAGTGGATATGTTTTTATTGTTATCAACTGGCAATTTTAATGAGTGACAGTTTTAGCAAGAATTGTATTAAAATAATTGGAATAACTAATAGAATCTTTATTAAAAATGTATATTTTACTTTGTTTGGATTACAGATAGACAGCCAATACATTAAAAAAAAGCTTTTTAATTTAACAAAGACTATCACCTCCCCTAAGAGAGTACACATAAAACTCAATTATTTAGTAAATAAAGTGATTGATGTGTCATTTACTCTGCTGCTTGGTGCTCTTTCTCATTCACAATTTTCCTCTTTCTTCACTGGAAATCTGTTAAAATAAATCTGTTTCAAACAAGCAGTAAATAGTTACTCAGAATGGGCCACTGGGAACATGATTTTAAGTTAGTGGTAACAGGCATTCCAGAAGAAAGCATACATATGTAGTGTATTGAAAATAAATAGGTGGTTCAAAATGTATCTCATTCTAGAATAACTAAACAAAATACCATTCTCATTTTTAACTTTTTATTGTCTGTTTTGCAATAATTTTGGAATTAAGATTAAGAGACACAAAGTAAAAATTAAATGACAATTTGAGATTTGTAGTTAAATAATAATTTAACTACAAATCTCAGTTTGTAGTTAAATAATAATAATTTAACTACAAATCTCAGTTTTGCTTCTTTGTTTCTGAGGCACTGCAATATAACATTATGGAGTGAAATGTTTCCTACTATGTTCACCTCTCAAGATGGCTTGTGTAATTTTTCAACTTCTTGAGGCATCTTTTGAGATTCTGCTCATCAGAGTCATTTACTCTCTAGGCGATTTATATAAAAATGAAATGCAACCTCAACATTTGAATATCTTTAGGCTTTTAAATATATTAAAAGTATCTTTTGGATATACTATTAGGTATCCCCTCAGGTAGAGGGAACTAAAGAACCTCAGAAAACTGAAAATCTAGGCAACAGTGTTGGGGTGGAGATAGTGAGAAAATGGAGGTGGGGAGCAAAGAATCTCGGTTGTTGGAATTAAATGCAGGGCTTATGTTAGCTATTGAATAAATATTTATTTAGTACTAAGCAACTACTTCATCTCTATTGCACAGTTGTTACTTACCAGGTTCTCAAAAATGCTGCATACATTATAGTTGTAACTTACAGATGAGGAAACTGGCATTCAAAAGAGGTTAAATAAGGTCTTTCAGCCAGTAAGTACTAGGGAAAGATCTGAAGTCAGGTCTCACTTGCTCCCAAATTCTATGTTCTTTCAGGCAAGGCAATGGCATTGAAATATGGAGATTAGTAAGGCAGAGTTTGAGTCTTTTAGGAGCTTATGGTCTGGTGAAAATCACTGTTGACCTCTTCTTACATTGCACTTCTGAACTATTGGCAAGTCTAGTTAGCTCTAACACTAAAATATATTTGAATTAAATTATTTCTCACATCCTCCCTTCAGCCAGTAAATACTGGGGCAAGATTTGAACTCAGATCTCAGAGTTGAATTACCTCTTTCCTGGACTACTACAAAAGCTTCCCAACTGGCTTTATGCATCCACTCTTGCCCCTCTACATACTATTTTTCAAACAGATGCCAAAGAGATCAGCAACTTGGATGGATTTAAAGTCTATCACACTCAGTGATCTATCACAGAAACAAAGAACTGAGTACCACTCATGAGTGACCCTGAACACTTATCAAAGTACTACAAGAAAGGGATTGGCAGTAGCAGGACACTGCCTGGGTGGGGGGGGTGGGGGAGCATAACATCAATAAAAGTACCTTATCCTAAACCAAGTGAAATGAGGACCAATAAAAGAATTGAGGAGACTCAAGAAGAAACTAGAAAGGAGCTGATATCTGAGATAATAGTAATAAAGAATACTGTGAATGAAATAAACAATAAACTGATAAGCATGGAGAGCAGAATTACCAAGCAGAAGAAAGAATCTCAGAGCTTGAGGACCAAAATATAGAACTAACCCAAAATCTCAAAAACACAGAAAACAAGCTCAAAAAGACAGAAAAAGCCTTCAAGAGATGAGCAATAACCTCAAGAGGCCTAACCTAAGAGTAATTGGCCTGCCTGAGGCACAAAGAGAGACAGAGACCACATTGGAACAAACCTCCCATGAGATCATTCAAGAAAACTTTCCTTATCTAATCAATGATGCAAAAACTCAAACACAAGAGATCCAGAGAACTCCTGCAAGACAACAAATGAGAAAACCAACTCCTAGACACATAATAATTCACCTAAACAAAGTAGGCATAAAAGAAAAAATCCTAAAGGCAGCAAGAGAAAAAGACCAGATCACCTACCATAGAAAACCAATTAGAATAGCAGCAGATTTATCTACAGAAACCCTGCAGGCTAGGAGAGCTTGGAGCCCTATCTTCAAAGTCCTAAAAGATAAACAATTTCAACCAAGAATAACCTACCCTGCCAGATTAAGCTTCATCAGCAAGGGAGAATTAAAATCTTTCCCAGATATCCAATCCCTAAGAACTTATGCTGCCACCAAACCACCACTACATGAAACACTTAAGAAAGTACTAAACACAGAAGAAAAGGGGGAAAAGTGAGCAATGTTCTTCACAAGAGTACAGGAAAAAGAATAAAATACACATGAACCAACCCCCAAAACAAAAGAAAAACAATAAACCAAGTGGAAGAACAACTCTATAGGAACACCATGATAGGGACGAACTCTCACATTTCAATAATTAGCCTGAATGTGAATGGACTAAATGCACCACTGAAAAGACATAGAATGGCAAAATGGATAAAATATCACCAGGCAACAATATACTGCCTCAAGAGACCCATCTCACTAGAAAGGACATGCACAGACTCAAAGTAAGAGGATGGGAAACAAATTTCCAGGTGAATGGAACACAAAAGAAAGGAGGAGTCACGATCCTAATTTCAGGCAAAATACCACTTAAGCTATCAAAAATTAAAAAAAATACAGAGGGCCACTATATAATGATAAAAGGTTCACTCCATCAACAAAAAATATCTATCCTAAACATATATGCACCTAACATAGGTGCACCAACTTTTATAAAGCAACTGCTAGGAAAACTAAAGAAAGATATTGACTCTAACACCATCATAACTGGGGACTTTAATACCCCACTCACAACCCTTGACAGATCATCGGGACAAAAAATCAGCAATGAGATCCGGAACCTCAATGTGACTCTGGACCAAATGGACTTAATTGATACCTATAGAACACTCCATCCAAAGACCAGAGAACACACATTCTACTCATCACCGCACGGGACGTATTCCAAGATAAGCAAATTTAAAAGGACTGAAATTCTACCATGCACCTTCTTGGACCACAGTGGAATGAAAATAAACATTAAAACCAACAAGGTCCCCCCCAAACCCACAAAGACATGGTCACTAAACAGCATGATGCTAAACAAGTCCTGGATCAATGATGAAATCAAAACAGAGTTCAAAAGATACCTGGAAACAAATGAAAATGAAGAAATATCTTACCAAAATCTCTGGGACACATT